GTTCAGTTGCTCAGTCATATCTGACTCTTCAGTTATAAAAAAGAACAGAATAATGCCATTTGCAACACAGATGGACCCAGAGATTGTCCTACTAAGTAAGTCAAAGACAAATACCATATAATATCACTTACATGGGGAATCTAGAAAAAGAATACAAATAAACTTATTTAAAAAACAGAAACAGAGTTACAGATGGAGAGAACAAACACGGTTACTAGGGGGTAAGGGAGGGGGAGGGATTAATTGGGAGACTGGGGTGCTATACATAAGATAAATAACCAATAAGGACATCCTCTATAGCACAGGGAATTCTACTTAATAATCTGTAATGGCCTATATGGGAAAAGAATCTTAAAAAGAGTGGATACATGTATAATGGATTCAATTTGTTGTACAGCTTAAACTAACACAACTTTAGATGGTAAAGAATCTGCCTGCAACGTAAGAGACCCAGGGCTCGATTCCGGGTCAGCAAGATCCTCTGGAGGAGGGCACAGCAACCCACTCCAGGATTCTTGCCTGGAGAGTCCCATGGACAGAGGAGCCTGGAGGACGACAGCCCACAGGGTCACAAAGAGTTGAACATGACTGGAGCGACTGAGCATGCATGTATGCATGTCATATTGATACTATACATGCATGCACGCTAAGAGTCAGACACAACTGAGCAACTAAGCATGCATGCACGTGCAGTATCAGGGTGACATGCATATATGCATGCTCAGTCGCTTCACTTATGCTTGACTCTTTGAGACCCTGTGGACTATCGTCCTCCAGGCTCCTCTGTCCATGGGAATCTCCAGGCAAGAATACTGGAGTGGCTTGCCATGCCCTCCTCCAGAGGATCTTCCCAACCCAGGGATCGAACCCGTGTCTCTTACATCTCCTAAACTGGCAGGAAAGTTCTTTACCATTAGTGCCACCTGGGATACTATGAGATATATATTACTTTCCCCCAATTTATAGATTGTTGGCTGATGGCCAAAAATGTTATGTATCAATAACTTGCCTGGGTATCTTCTTCCCCGGGACACTGCTGGGTCTTAACCCCTGAGGGCTCCATCCTGCAGCCCAGGACACAGGGAGGCAGCAGCGCCAAAGATGGCCAGTGGGGGTGGGGGACCTGGGCTTCCGCAAGCTGCTGTGGAGGTAAGCAGGAGCCCCTGTCTTTGTGATTGTTTGTCACAAGAGGCAACTCTTATAAATGATTTTAACCTGGCTGATTAGGGTGTGTGTTACTTGCAGCCGAAACACTTGAACTAATTCTTCAGAGAACATTCTCATGATCAGCAGACAAGTCTCCCCACTTCATAACTTGCTCCCTTCTTTTTCTAAGACCTCTGGTTTTTAATTTCTTTTTATGTTGTATCCATTCATTTTCCAAAATTGTCTCAGCTACTAAAAATATTTTTCAGTTCATCCTCCAGGACTCTTTTTAGGTATATATACCGATACATTATTTACAAAGAGAGACAGTCGTGTTTCTCCTTCCTGATGAATAAATATTTTCATGTTAATGCTTTGACCAAGAATTTCTAGAACAGTGTTAAACTTTGATAGTAAATATCTTAATTTTAATAGCAATACTTGTACTGTTACACTAAGTATGTTGTTGGCAGCAGGTCAATGGTACCAAGTGAGCTTATTAGACAACTACTAGACATTTCCATTCAAAAGTCACTAGGCTTAGATGTACCACTGAGAACCTGGTCCTCACCTCCAATGACCCCAAACACTTATCTAAGACGTCATTATGTTAAGAAAAAGCCTTACATTGCTAGATATATCAAACTTTACATCACTACTTTGAGTTTTGATAAGAAATGTATATTGAATTTTATCACCATTTTTCTAGCACCTACTGAGTTACTCAGTGATCTTTTTAAAAATTAAGAAAAACCTAGAGAGAACATTTATTGGTTACAAACAAATGACTTAAAAGTGAGATTAGCTGATGGACATTTTAGGTTCAAGCAAAACAGCATGTTCACAGCTCCATGTGTTCTATACAGTAAGACCCCCACACACAAAGGAGTTCCATTCCAAGGGTAAATCAGTAAGTCTGATTTGTTCGTAAATCCAACAAGCTCAGGTACCCAACTGACACAATCAGATATACATACTGTACTGCATTAAGTTTAAAATATTAATACTTTTCACATAAAAAAACACAAGAAACAAAAACAAAAAAGAAAGAAAACATTTAAACTGTACCACACCTTCAGAAGTTCAATAATACAGTACATCTGGCGAACAGGGTCTGACATCGAGTGAACAGGCAGGAAGACCTGACTGGAGGAGGGAGAGGAGGTGGGAGAAGGCAGCGCTGAAGGGTCGTCACCAACAGGAGACGGAGGGCAGGCCGCACTCTCACTCACGCCTGATGCTGAGGGCATAGGTCTGGTTCTTTCCTGCATTCAATTCAACCTACCCTACCTACCCTTTTGGAAAAATGATCCAGTATCTCTTTTTCTCATCATAGATGACATGATGGCACTGGATTGAATTCTGAATGGTTGCTGCAAGCTTCATGTTCCATATTACACCTGGGTCCCATGCCTCAAAAACTAACAGTGCCTCCTCAAATAAAGAAAAGCCCCTTCTCATTTCCCATGTCATGAATCTTTTTGGTTCTTCAGTTACTTCTGAAGACAACCTGGGCTTGACATAAATACACTGTACTACCACGCTATATGCAGTACTGTACAGTACACAAAAGCACACACTGGCAGAGGACGCATGGACATGACAGTGTGCACCAGACATTAAATAACTTACGTGACTGGGCATGAGAAGGAACATTCCATCTTTGAAAGTTCGCAGCGTGAAGGTTTATATGTAGCGGACTTCCTGTCCTACAGAGCGCTGACCTCAAGTCTAGTTTCCATCCATCACCATACGTTGGCCCCTTCCCCATTTTGCCCACACGACTTCCCCTCTAGTAACCACCAGTCTGCCCTCTGTATCTAAAATTTTGCTTTTGTTTTATTGTTTGCTCATTTGTTTCATTAGACTTTACAGGAGTGAGATCATATAGTATTTGTCATCCTTCATCTGGCTTATTTTAAATACCATATTGTCTTCAAGGTCTTCCTATATTGTCACAAATGGCAGGATTTAATTCTTTTATATGGCTGATCTGTATTCGTGTGTGTGTGTGTGTGTGTGTGTGTGTGTGCGCGCACGCGCGCATGCTCAGTTGTGTCCAACTCTTTGCGATCACATGGACTGTAGGCCGCCAGGCTTCTCTGTCCATGGGATTTTTCCAGAAAAGGATACTAGAGTGGGTTGCCCTTTCCTCTTCCAGGGGATCTACCTGACCCAAGGATCAAATCAGTGTCTCCTGCACTAGCAGGACTCTTTGTGACCCCATGGGCGCCAGGCTTCCCTGTCCTTCACCATCTCCCGGAGCTTGCTCAAGCTTATCTTCATTGAGTTGGTGATGTCATCCAACCATCTCGTCCTCTGTTGTCCCTTTCTCCTCCTGCCATCAATATTTCCCAGCATCAGGACCTTCTCCATTGGTCAGCTCTTCGCATCAGGTGGCCAAAGTATTAGAGCTTCAGCTTTAGCATCAGTCCTTCCAATAAATATTAAGGATTGATTTCCTTTAGGATTAACTGGTTTGATCTCCTTACAGCCCAAGGACTCTCAAGATCTCCAACATCACAGTTCAAAAGCATCAATTCTTCAGTGCTCTGCTTTCTTTATGGTCCAACTCTCATATTCATACATGACCATTGGAAAACCATAGCCTTAACTAGATGGACCTTTGTTGGCAAAGTGATGTCTCTGCTTTTTAATACGCTGTCTAGGTTTGTTAGCTTTTCTTCCAAGGAGCTAGCATCTTTTAATTTCATGGCTGCAGTCACCATTGGCAGTGATTTTGGAGCCCCNAGGTTCGTCATAGCTTTTCTTCCAAGGAGCTAGCATCTTTTAATTTCATGGCTGCAGTCATCGTCCACTGTGATTTTGGAGCCCAAAATAGTAATGTCTGTCACTGTTTCCTTTTTCCCCCCCATCTATTTGCCCTGAAGTGATGGGACTGGATGCCATGATCTTCATTTTTTGAATGCTGTGTTTTAAGCCGGGTTTTTCACTCCTCTTTCACCTTCATCAAGAGGTTCTTTAGTTCTTTGCTGGTGGTGTCATCTGCGTATCAGAGGTTATTGATATTTTTTCTGGCAATTTTGATTCCAGCTTGAGCTTCATCTAGCCTGGCATTTCGCATGATGTAGTCTGCACAGAAGTTAAATAAGTAGGGTGACACTATACAGCCTTGACATACTCCTTTCCCAATTTTGAACGAGTCCGTTGCTCCATGTCCAGTTCTAACTGTTGCTTCGTGACCTGCATACAGGTTTCTCAGGAGGCAGGTAAGGTGGTCTGGTATTCCTATCTCTTTAAGAATTTTCCACAGTTTGTTGTGATCCACATGGTCAAAGGCTTTAGCATAGTCAATGAAGAAGATGTTTTTCTGGAATTCCCTTGCTTTTTCTATGATCCAACAGATGTTGGCAATTTCTATGATCTGTAAACCACTATAAACTAAAATGATTTTAATTTTTTTTAAAATAGCTCTTTTGCTACATGTAAATCTACTTATATATATTCAACACAATAGAAGGTGAAATGGGAAATATTAAGGTTCTGAACATAAAGTTTCACTCTAGTAGGAGTCAGAACAGGGTCTACCAATACTCTTCACTGTGCAGTGCTAATCTCTGATGAAGACATTCATCCTTTTTGAATTGCATGACTGTGCTAGTTACTCATATTTCCCTATCAAGTTTTCTGAAATTATTATCAGCAATGACTTCAGATCCCTAAGATTCTTTAAAAAAAAAAAAAACATTTCTAGGCTTGCAAATGTTTCAGCATCTGAGAATAGCATCAATTTCTTGGAAATAAAATAGTAAACTTCATTTTAGCTGTGAAAACCATGGAGACTAAGAGTAAGTGATGGGATGATGCAACATTCTGAGAGAGGTGAGTGGTACCTCAGAAGTGAAGGAAGAAGGCAGCAGGACTGATCTCTCTGTTAGGCACACAACCCTTCCACGAACCTAGAAAATGTGTTAATTTTAATTTCTTCTCAAACAGAAAAAACCTGAATATGACAACAATGAATATACAAGTCTAACTGAATTATATTTGTCTTCATAACAATACAGTCATAAGAAGTTATTTTTAGTAACTTTGTGGAGGTAGGGACTCACAAAGGCAAAAGTGCCCAGAACCCACAAAAGTCATAATGTAGTCCAGGGAGTGAGGGAACACAAGCAGTTCTTCTTCAGTGGTGGGAAGAAACGGGCTGTGGAAGCAGCATTGACCCAAGTGCCTTTAAAATGGGCCAGTTTCTACTATTTCACATACATATAACATTATCACAGGTTCCTAATTCTAGGCTTACAGACTCAAGTGTTTACTCCCCTCTCTGAAATTAATTAAATGCTCTTTATGACCTTGGATACACCTGTCCTTCCACTCAATTCCTTTTATTTATCCCCTTATACAAAGTAAAGCTTAATTTTTCACATTGACTTGGTTATCCCTTTTTTCCATTGTGATAAAATATACATAGCAAAATTACCATTTTTAACCAGTAAAATATTTTATTTGGTTGAATATGCATAACTTAACATTTATCACTTTACCAGTTTTTAAGTGTACAGTTCTGTAGCATTAAGTTCATTCACATTACTGTACAACCATCATCACCATCGAGCTTCAGAAATTTTTCATCATCCTTAACTAAACTCTGTACCCATTAAACTTAAACTCCCTAATTACTGCCCCCCCCCCAATTCCCAGTCCCTGGCAACCACCATCGTACATTCTATCTCTATGTATCTGACTACTCTAGGTACCTCATACTATGTTTGTTTTTTATAGAGTATACTGTATTTGTTGTTTGGTTTCTAGATTAAAATGCCTTCAAGGTTCATCCATGCTGTACCATGTATCAGAATTTCACCGCTTTACAAGGTTAAATGATATCCTTCTATATATATATATACCACATTTTGTTTATCTCTTCATCTGTTGATGGACATTTGGGCTGTTTCCACATTTTGGTTACTATGAATAGTACTGCTCTGAGCACTGGTTGTACAAAAATCTGTTTGATTTCCCATTTATGATCACCTCCAGCTGAAGATAACCTTATCCTAAGCCTCAAATATTTTTAAAAACAATTTTTCAAATACAATGTCTGGCACAAAATAAAAAATAATCATATTCACAGGGAGTCAAGAGAACATGAGTGAGAACCAGCAGAAACAAAAGCAGAACCCAGAAATAGATTTAAATACCTATGCCCATCTGACTTTTGATTAAGATGCAAAAGCAACTCAAAGGAGGAAAGACAGTATTTTCAACAAATAAGCTGAAGCAACTTGAGATCCATAACCCAAAAGATGAACCTCAAGTTGGTCTCAGATGTATACAAAAGTTAACCTAAAATGGGTAATGGGTTTAAATACAAAACGTAAAGTTATAAAACTTTTAGGAAAAAAAAAGAGAAAAACTTCAGGATCTAGGGCAAGGCAAAGAGTTCACAGTCTTGATACCAATGGCACTATTTATTAAAAAACTGATAAATTTTATTTCCTCAACATTTAAAACTTTCTCTGCAAAAGACTCAAGTAAAAGAATGAGGAGACACTGGGAAAAATATTTGTAAAGCACATATATAACAAAGGACCAATATCTAGAATATATAAAGAATTTGTAAAACTCAACAATAAAAAAATATATTATCCAATTAGAAAATGAGTAAAGACATGAAAGACATTTCACTGAAGAGGACATACAGATGGCAAACATTCAGCATCATTAGCCATGAAAGAAATGCAAATTAAAACCACAATGAGATAACACTACACATCTCCAAGAACGGCTAAAATAAAACACAGTTATAATATCCAAATACTAGTGAGAATGTGGAGGAAGGAGATAACTCAACATTGCTGGTAGAAATGTATTATAAAATGGCACAGTCATTCTAGAAAACAATTTGGCAGTTCCATATAAAAGGAAACATGCAAATACCTCATAGTCCAGCAATTGTACTTCTGGCACTTATCAAAAAGAAATAAAAACTTATGTTTACACAAAAATCTGTACATAAATGTTTGAGCAGCTTTTATAATATTCAAAAACCAGGGGGGAAAAAAAACCCCACCCACTGAAGGAGTGAATGGTTAAACTGCGGGCCATCCATACAATGGAATGCACACTACCGAGCAATAAAAAGGGACAAACTACTGATATATATAACCTAGATGAATCTCTAGAGAATTAAGTTGACTGAAGAAAGACAATCACCAAAAATTAAACATTGTAGGATTTCATTTTACAACATTCTTAAGATAACAAAAATACATGGGACTTCCCTGGGGGTACAGTGGAAAAGAATTCGTCTGCCAGTGCAGAGGATGCGGGTTTGATCCATGGATCTGGGAGATTCCATATGCCATGGAGCAACTAAGCCCATGCACCACAACTGCTGAAGCCCATGTGCCTACAGCCTGCGTTCGGCAATGAGAGAATACACTGCAATGAGAAGCCCGCCTACCTAACCAAAGAGCAGTCCCCACTCGCCACAACCAGAGAAAGCCCGCACACAGCGATGAAGACCCGGTGCAACAAATAAAGAAATAAACCAAAATACAGAAATGTAGAACACATTGGTGGTTGCCCGGGTTAAAGAGGGTGTGGGGACAGGAGGGATGTGGGTCGGATTATAGAAAGACAACATAAGTGATCCTTGCTGTGGTGGAACGTTTTGAAGTTTGACTGTGTTAATGTCCATATTCTGGTTGTGATGTTTTCCAAGATGTTGTCATATGGAGAAAATGAGTAAACAGTATATGGGATCCCTTTGTATTAACTCTTACACATGTGGGTCTATAATTTTCACAAAACAAAAAGTATAATTTTAAAGATTACATATGTGGCTAGCATCCTATTTGTGCTGGACCATGCTGCTGTACGAGAATCTGTAAGATCCCCCGAGGTGGAGACTTCATATCACATGAATATGAAGCATAATAGATGCTTTATTTAACTGGAAGCAATTTAAATTTTTGTATCTTATTCCTGATCTTCACTAATAATGTATTAAAATGATTAATGCAAACCAAATATCACTAATATAATGTGTTTTCAATATCTTACTCGCCATTTTCATTTTTATTTTTAAAACTGGAGGATTATTTATAAATCTAACTAGTAACTTCTACTTACATGTTTTTTCCATAGGTTTACTTGCTGCAACACGATGGTCTTCTTTTGCTTTAACTAGGCAGTTCTTCTTATGATAGTCTTCTCTTGAACAGCTGTTGATTTTGTATCCCTTTAAGTCGATCACAGTCATGATTCTAGTATCATCTTGTAAGGCACTACATTTCTTCAACATAGGATTTTTGGTTGCATACTTATAAGCATCTGCAGTAAGATCGTGCCAACTGTAATCTACAAGATTTACAATTCCCACAGGAAATTAATGTTATACACAGCATATTTCTCTAATCTCTCCTCAAGTTCGAACAGTATTTCAGCAGCAGTGACTTTGTATTCTTCAAATAGAGACTTTTGCAGTTGTAGTTTGGAAAATTTAAAATTAGTAGATAACACAGAAACACTAGAAGTTTGTGAGACACCAAGTGAGATGAACTCATCTTTCTCCCTGGATTCAGCTACTTTAGAAAGTCTTGCTTTCTCTAGTTCTTTAAATATACTCCTTGTAGGACTGTAAAAAACACATATGAACTTTAAAGATATTTTATACTTTTTAACCTAGTAATTTGACTTCTAGAAACCCATCTTAAGGTATAATAAAAAACTATAACATCTATGCATAAAATTGCTAACTACAGCATGATTTTTGATATAGGAAAAAATGGAAAAGAATCAAAGGCCTTATAGAGATATAGTTAAGTAAATAATGCCATATCCATACAGTAGGTAGCCATAAAAATTGTTTGGAAAATTGCTCTTAATAACTTGGGGAAATGTTTATGTTATAATATTATATAAAAGTATAATACATAATTGCATGTGTGGAAAGATCTCAAATGTATTTATATATATATATATATATAATATATATATATAAAATATATCTGGCATTAAAAGGACAAGTAAATGCCCACCCAAAAGCAAACATTGTGAGATTATAGAAGTCAACTTTTATTTTCTCTTTCTATACTTTTCTAACTTTTCTACATGAACATTTATTATGTTTATACACAGAAGATAAAAACCAATATGTGTTTTTCAATATGTGTTTATTCAATTGTTTAATTATAAGATAAGACAAAGATCACTTCTTCCAGAAACCCTTCCCTGAATTTCTTAGTCTACATTTTTTGTGTTCCTGTAGCTCACTCTACACACTCCTATTAGATGTTACTATAGTACACTAAAATTCTAAAACAGACAACAAAGATGGACTCACAGAAGACTAGGCATTTCAGATATTGGAATTTTATAATTGGAATTTTGTAAGCCACAGTTTATAAAACAACTAGGCATACAATGTTTAAAACTTCCAGTGGTCTCCCCCTTTTGGTAATAGCATCTGGGTAATCCAAAGTACCCCACCCTGACTTTGGAAGACAACTAGAGAAGCTGAACAGAATATAAAAAAAATTTCTCGTTAAAGGCAATAGAGGAATAACAAGATAGTGAAGGGCTACTATCAATACCCTAGAGATTTGGAAATCGAAAGAGGAATTTGAGAGGCTTAGAGACTGATCAGGGCTTTTTATAGTTTTGTGGAAGCTAAGGGTTTTTGGAAAACTCAGCAGTGGCCACAGGACTGGAAAAGGTCAGTTTTCATTCAAATCCCTAAGAAGGGCAATCCCAAAGAACGCTCAAACTACCGCACAATTGCATTCAACTCACACGCTAGTAAAGTAATGCTCAAAATTCTCCAAGCCAGGCTTCAGCAATATGTGAACTGAGAACTTCCAGATGTTCAAGCTGGTTTTAGAAAAGGCAGAGGAACCAGAGATCAAATTGCCAACATCTGCTGGATCATCAAAAAAGCAAGAGAGTTCCAGAAAAATATCTATTTCTGCTTTATTGACTACGCCAAAGCCTTCGACTGTGTGGATCACAATNTATAAGGAAGGAATCCATCAACAGACTGACTGAAGAGCAAGGAATTTACTTCTGTACCAAAAAAAGATCTTAATGTAACTGGTTCACAGTGTTTAGCACTTCTGCTCCTGTGGTCATTCTGGACACCTGTTTCCTTCCAAATTGGTCTTTTGCTTTCTCAAGCAACAGTTCTCAAAGTTTTTTGTCTAAGGACTACTTTATCCTCTTAAAATATACTAAAGATCCATGCAAGCTTTTGTTTTTGAAATTACTGCTATTGGGGCAGGAGGAGAAGGGGACGACAGAGGATGAGATGGCTGGATGGCATCACCGACTCGATGGGCATAAGTTTGAGTAAATTCCGGGAGTTGGTGATGGACAGTTGGTGATGGCGTGCTGCGATTCATGGGGTCGCAAAGAGTCAGACACGACTGAGCTACCGAACTGAATGGAAGGATTTTGGAGTCCAGGCTTTCCAACGGGAGGCTGCATCCTAGGAGTAAGAGTTGTCCTAAAAGTAGACCTAGACCAGCACATTCAAAGACAGCTTCAAATGGCTGCATTCTCTGAAACTGAATTAAGGTGACCCCTGGCTGTTTCCTCAAGCCTCTGACACAAACAAATGTAAATCTCCTTCAGAACAAGATAACTTCATCTTAGCCCTCAAATTATTTTTAAAAACAATTTTTATTTTTTTTAAAAAGAGAGTGGAGGTATTTCTTTATTTAAAACCCTTTTTATTTTGTAATGGGGTATAACCAACTAACTATGTTGTGATAGTTTCAGGTGAACAGCAAAGGGACTCAGTCATACACATACAGGTATCTATTCTTTCCCAAACTCCCTTCTCATCCAGGCTGCCACATGACATTGAGCAAAGTTCCATGTGCTATATGGTAGGTCCTTGTTGGTTTTCATTTCAAATACAGTAGTGTGATATTTTGGTGACTCTTCCAATATTTAAAACTTTTTCATTATTATTATGTTTGTTATAGTGATCTATGATCTTTAATGTTACTATTGCAAAAAGATTAAAACTTGCTGAAGGCTCAGATGATGGTTAACATTTTTCAGCAATAAAGTATTTTTTAAAGTGTGATGTTAACATTGGTCTTTAGACACAATGCTATTGTACACTTAATAGACTACAATTTAGTTTGATACAACTTTTATATGTTCCAAGAAACCAAAAAATTTGTGTGACTCATTTCATTGTGATATTTGCTTTATTACCGTGGTTTGGAACCATGCAGTTTGGGACACCTGATGGAGTTTCACTTGAATACTGTCTTTATAAAATGGTCCACAGCACAAAGGAGCCACTTGCATTTTTCTTCTAAATCATGGTTCCATTAGCATAGTTTGAAAAAAATGACATAGGTTTTCTAGCTAAGTGTTTAACATGAAATAAAAGGGAACATTGTTTCAAGATCAAAGATATTTGATGTGGAAAAGAATTCTAAATGTGGGGAATTCCCTGGTGGTCCAGTGCTTAGGGCTTGGCACTTTCACTGTGGGAGCCTGGTTTAACCCTGGTTGGGGAGCTAAAACCCCTCAAGCTGCATGGCATGGCCAAAAAAACAAACAATAAAAGAATTCTAAATGTGGATCTTAAATTTTTTATCTCTGAGCACTGGTTATATTATTACATTGATATTTAAAAGCTGGAAAGCCCATTTTTGCAAACATTGAATATATTTTCATAGTAATAATTCATTAAATTTCTGTATTTTTTAGAGCTTAAAAATCACTTTCATAAATATCACCTTATCAATTTCTAATACTCACCCTATGAGTCAGCTAATGTGTTATCTCTATTTTATGTTATTTTCTTTGTAAATCATATATATATATATATATGCATTAGTGGTAAATTTATCTATTGCTCAAATAAAATGATAGAGATTGGATAAAGACATGTCATATGATACTAGTTATATATGAAATCTAAAAAATGATACAAACTAACTTATTTACAAAACAGAAATAGACTCACAGACTTAAGGGGAAGTGGGGGAGGAATAAACTAGGAGTTTGGGATTAAAATATATACACTACTATATACAAAATAAACAACAAAGACCCTACTGTATAGCACAGGGAACTATATTCAATATCTTGTAACAATTTGTAATGGGAAAGAATCTGACAAAGGAAATGCATATAACTGAATCACTTTGCTGTTTATCCCAAAACACTGTAAATCAACTATACTTCAATTTAAAATAAATAAATAAAATGATAGAGACTGTACTTATTACAGTAATTATAGTAACACCTATCATTTATTAATTCCCTGGTGGCCCAGTAGCTTAGACTGTGCTCCCAATGCAGGGGGCCCAGGTTAATCAATTTTATCACATGTAAAATGATGCCAGTAATTATAGCTCCTTCACAGAGTTGTTAAGAAATTAATGTACATTTGAAAAAAATAATCTTTATATGTTTGGTTTACTTTTCAGACAAAAGCTCAAATAATCGACTGTTGAGTTCAAAACCAGATGATGAAAGGCATCAAATGAAAAACTGGGCAGCCAATAAACCTCTGAAGCTTTATATAAATAGACCTACTTAATGCTCACATGCTTAATGCTCAGACCTACTTAATGCTTAAGACTCCCCTAGTGGCTCAGATGGCAAAGCATCTGTCTACAATGTGGGAGACCCGGGTTTGACTCCTGGGTCAGGAAGATCCCCTGGAGAAGGGAATGGCAACCCACTCCAGTACTCTTGCTTAGAAAATCCCATGGACCGAGAAGCCTGGTAGGCTACAATCCACAGGGTTGCAGAGAGTCGGACATGACTGAGCAACTTCACTTTCACTTTCACTTTCAATGCTCACAAGACAATCTGATTTCAACCACTGAGTGCCAATTTAAGACCAATTGTGGATGCAAACTGACCAAGTTATACTGAATTGCATTTAGGCAGAAAGAGTTGAAAATGAAGAGACAATGACGGACTTCTGAAAAGAGAAGCAACTTGCTGGGGTCTTGAGAAAAGTTATAGCAGGCTCAAAAAACCCCAGACCAGAATAATATTTACTGGGGCTTTTCAACCCTGTATTATTGACATCTTTGATCAGATGATTCTCTGTTTTTGGCTGTTATGTATGTGCATTGTAGGATATTTAGCAGCATCTCTACACACCATATTGACAATACTGCCACAACTGCCCAGTTGTTAACAATCAAATAGGTCTTTGAAAAGTGAAAGTTAAGGGAAAGTGAAAGTCACTCAGTCGTGTCCAACTCTTTGCAATACCATGGAATTCTCCAGGCCAGAATACTGGAGTGGGTAGCCTTTCCCTTCTCCAGGGGATCTTCCCAACCCAGGGATTGAACCCAGGTCTCCCGCATTGCGGGCAGATTCTTTACCAGCTGAGCCACAAAGAAGGCCCTTAGACGTTGCCAAACATCCCTGGTTTGGAATGGGCTGGGGAGCTGTGCCTGCTTGAGAACTCATAGATTGACAACTTTTAAGCTTTGTGATGTATGTTCTAGGACAGGTTGAGGTATTTTAATTTCCATTTCACCAATTAAGAAACTTTGTAACTAGAGGGTAAAAATGCTGTGGAGTGACTAGTTTCATTATTTCATTTATCTTTGTGGGCTTTACACAATTTCATGCTTGTTAATTACAAATCTCTTAAGTACATTCTATATGTCAAGCACTATTTTTGGGACTGGGGATAGAGAAGTGATAAAGAAGGGATTAAGTAAGTAAACTATCTTAACCTTTATAGACTTGACACTTTCATGAGGAGAGAGAGGGCAAACAAATAAATAGAAATATCATTTATAAAGTTAGAAAGTATTAAGAATAACAGAAATGTTAGGAAGGGGACTAAAGAATACCAAAATGGGCATACAGTGGAAATCTGAGATAAGGCAAATAAGAAAAGTCTTACCACAAAGGTGATACTTAAATAAAGACTTAAAGGCAACAGAGAGTAAACAGTGCAGAAAGCTGAAGAAACATCTGGAACAAATTGCCTAAGGCAAAAGTGGAGCTGGATTTGTTGTGAAATAGCAAGGAAATCCAGATGACTGGTTGATTTCACCACTTTTGCTTAAATCAACCAATAATTTGGCCAAAATAAAGTTCTCCATTGACTTCATAATCAGCTTTGAAATAGCAATTCCTTGATGTGGTTTCTTGGGGGATGAGGAATAAGGGAGGACTGGTCCTGACCACCTTATAACCTTTTGAGAATGTAAAGTGACCCTATCAAATAGAGAATAAATTCCAAATGTTTTACTTATTGTTAGCTCCTTCAGTGCATTCCAAAAGGGGTAAGTGGTCTTCACATTTTCTCTTTCCCCATATTTTCCTTTTTGGTTTTATCTAAAAGAAAAGAAAATTTTCTGATTAAAAAAGACAAAAAATATCAGTCAAAAGTAAGTTACTTTTTAAAAAAGTAAACTATAATTTGACAAAACTGAGCTATATTATTACCTGATCAAAAAAAATAGATGGGTCCAGTGTCCAAAAATTTAATTTCAGTGAAGTCTTCCATTCTACCAAGAGACCTAAGAATGAAAAATTGGAATTTTGAAGTTAAGTTATCATGTCTGTAGGTGATATTTCGAAGTACTTGATGGTTTGAAAGTTTAAATATTTTATTTTCAATGAAGTGTAAAAAAATTAAGGTGGGGCACAACCCTCCCTTTACCTCTACATTCATTTCATAGGCTATTGACTTGACATTGATGCAATCAGGATTTCATGCTCATGTCAATACTGAGTTTCTCAACCTTGATACTACTGACATTTTAGGCCAGATAATTCTTTGCTGTAAAGTGTTGCCTTGTGCCTTGTAGAATGTTTAGCGCCATCTCTGGCCTCTACCTACCAGACACCAGTAGCATAACTTCTTACTCAGACAACAAAAAGTGTCTCCTGACCCTGCCAAATGTCTCCTGGGAATTAAAATTGCCTCTTATTGGGAATGACTATGCTAGTGTAATGGCCAGGAGACAAAAGTTTTGATAGGGAATGATCTGGTGCTTATGAAGATGAGTGATACTACTGATGGCAGGGTCATCAGAACAGTGCAACTCAAAAAGTGGTCCCTGCACACCTATGGGCATCTTATCTTTGACAAAGGAGAAAAGTATATACAGTGGAGAAAACGTAGCCTCTTCACTAAGTGGTGCTGAGAAAACTAGACAGCTATGTGTAAAAGAATGACAGAACACTTCCTAAAACCATACACAAAAATAAGCTCAAAAAGGATTAAAGACTTAAATGTAAGGCCAGAAACTGTAAAGCTCTTAGAGGAAAATATAGGCAGTACAATCTTTGACAAATTGCGGTAAGATTCTCTCTGACCCACCTCCAGCTTGATGGAAATAAAAACAAAAGTAAACAAATGGGACGTAATAAAACTTAAAAGCTTTTGCACAGCAAAGGAAACTAAACAAGATGAAAAGACAACCCTCAGAATGGGAGAAAATAACTGCAAATGAAGCAACTGACATAGGGTTAATCTCCAAAATATATAAGCAACTCATACAGCTCAATACCAGAAAAGCAAAAAATGCAATCAAAAAATGGTCAGAAGACCTAAAAGACATTTCTCCAAAGATGTACAGATGACCAACAGACATATGAAAAGATGCTCAACTTTGCTCCTTATTAGAGTAATGCAAATCAAAACTACAGTGAGGTATTACCTCACACCAGTAAGAATGGCCATCATCAAAAAATCTACAAATAATAAATGCTGGAGAGGATGTGGAGAAAAGGGAACCCTCCTGCACTGTTAGTGGGAATGTAAACTGAAATAGCCATTATGGAAAACAGTATGAGATTCCTTAAAAACTAGGATGAATCTACCATATGACCCAGCAATCCCATTACTGGGCATAAACCTTGAGAAAAACCACAATTCGAAAAGACACCTGTACCCTAATGTTCATTGCAGCAATATTTACAATATCCAGGACATGGAAGCAACCCAGTTGTCCATCAACAGATGAATGGACAAAGAAGCTGTGGTACATATATACACTGGTATATTACTCAGCCATAAAAGCGCTGAATTTGTGTCAGTTGTAGTGATGCGGATGAACCTAGAGCCTCTTATATAGTGTAAAGTAGGTCAGAAAGAGAAAAACAAGTATCACATGTTAACGCATATATATGGACACTACAAAAATGGTACTGAGAAATCTAGCAGAGAATGGACTTGTGGACACAGCAAGGGACAAATTGAGAAAGTAGCATTGACCTATATACACTATTATGTGGGAAGTTGCTAAATAACACAGGGAGTCCAGCCTGGCACTCTGTGATGACGTAGAGGGGTGGGTTGGGAAAGGGGAGGGAGGCTCAGGATAGAAGGGATATAGAATTATACAGATATATGTATAATTATGACTGATTCATATCCTTGTAAAGCAGAAACCAACACAAAATTGAAAAGCAATTTTCCACCAAATAAAAAATAAATTAAAAAAATCTAAAAATGTGAAATAAATTAAAAAAATCTAAAAATGTGGTCCCTGGGCCAGCAGTATCAGCATCACCTGGGACCTTGTTAAATTGCCCTCATGGGTTTGCAATGAAGAAGATGAGTACACAATGGAAGACTGGGCAGTAGCAACAGCATCAAAGAACTGGGACATGCAGTGGACTGAGGATTATTAGCTATTATTATTAATAAGAAAATTTTTTCCAAGGCTCAGGCTTGACTCTTTCCAAGGCTAAGAATCTGTTTAAAATGAAACTTGAAGTACACTAAAAGCTCCTGTTTAATTAAACATCTCTAGCTCATTGTCTTGCCGCTATGGCTAAAGTTTCCATTTTGAATAAATTCAGTATCTCCAAAATCCCTGGTTAAAGTGTAAATACTGGTATTTATGCTCTGATATATACATTTGGGAAAAACATCATGCTTTGTAAAATTTTTGCACTAAAAATAATTCGGTTTATGAGAAAAATAAGATTAGGACACACTAGTTAAAATGTATGCCACTTTGGAACCAGAGCACAAAAGAAAAACAGTAATTGGCACCACACAAAGAGCTTAAATAGTCCAAGCAGGCAGCTGTGGCCAGAAGATGCCTCAGGGGATATTTAAAATAAACAGAGTAGAAATGCAAATTTATGAGTGCTGAAATAATGTGGATGAAGTAGATCTTGCCAATGGGATTGAGTTTAAGTTGGGTACAGAAAGAAATTAAACCTGCCAGAATCTAAAAGCCCTAAGTCTGGGGTTGTGCCCTTCTGGAAAACGATTCCTGGGTACTAGCACTCATTTTTAGGTTTTTTTATTTTTTAGGAGTTAAAAGAGCTCTTGCCCGTGCAGCAGCTGAACTGAAGACTTTTCCTTGTCCAATTGTTACTTCTGTGACCCCCACTTTACTAGAAAAATCAGGTATGGAAAATTGAGAATGACAATTTCTACTTACACTGAAATCATTCACTTATTTAACAATAATTAGCTAATTTGCATTATAGAAACAGAAATTGTGATAAAGAGACAAAATGTTTCTTTGGGAAGAGAGAAGAAATAGCTTAAGCTAAAAATAAATATAGAGTGTTTCATATGAGTTCATTATCAGCTTGAACAGGGAGCAGGCCTTGAGGAAATCAGAGAGGTAAGTATAGCAAAAAGAAGGCAGTAAGAGGATGATTCTGAGAACATCAAACATTAAAGAACTTCAAACAGTTCTAGCATAGACACACAACAAAAGGAAAGTTGGAGCTATCAAAAACTCAAGCACTAAGAATATCCTACATTCATAAAAAAAAAAAAAAAAAACAGAAAAAGAAAAGCTTCCCTACTCAATCTACCAAGCAAACATTACAAAAATCAGACATCACAAAAATAAAGCCTCAATTCAAAATGGTTGCACTATGGTTACATCTCGGGCTTTCTGCAACTATAAAGAGGTGGTTATGAAAACCATGGCCCTCAGTATCAATATCTAAATGCAGCCATCACCTATTCCACAAATATTCTCTTTAAGGATTTTTTTCTTAATTTTTCTTAATCAATCCTGCTGTTGTTGCTGTTTCTTAGCAAAACTAGAAAAAACAAAACTGCAAACATTGAACATAGCATTTTAGAAATTAAGATATTTAGAACTTTAAATCTATAGGAAAGGGAAAATTACAATAGGAAAGGCAAATATATAGTAAGGATTTAAGACCACTTAAATAAAACTGTATGTGGATTAAAAACAATTAAACTATAAAACAATTATAACTACAATTAACAGTAAAAGGATAAGCAGGAAGATGTAAAACAAATCATCAAAATTGAAAAATGTGGGGAAGGGGAGTATAAAAATGTAGACCTTTTAGAATGTGTGTGAACTTGTATATCTATTAGTTTAAAGCAAATCGATATAGTTATGGGTCAACATACTTGAACTACATAGTAAGCACAAGTCAAAAACATACAATAGATTCAAAAAAAATAAAAAGAAAGGAACTCAAGCATACTACAAAAGAAAATCATCAAACCATAAAAGGAGAAACAAAAAGTAGAGATAAACAAAAAAGAACTACAGAAACAACTGGAAAGTAAGGAATAAAGTGGCAATAAGTACATATCTATCAATAATTACTTTAAGTGTCAATAGACTAACTGCTTCAATCAAAAGACACAGAGTGGCACACTAGATTAAAAAACAAAGAAACAAACATGAATCTGTACTGTGCTGTCTATAAAAGACTCACTTCAGGGTGAAAGACACACACAGACTGAAGGTAAGAGGAATGGAAAAAGATATTTCATGTAAACAGAGACAACAAGAAGGCAGGGGTAGTAATACTCATATCATAAAAAATAAAAGGCCACAAAGAGAGACAAAGACGGGCATTATATAATGATAAAGGGATCAACACAAGAAGAGGATATTATACTTGTTATCATATATGCACCCAATATAGGAGCACCTAAATATATAAAGCAAATACTAAAAGACATAAAGGGAGAAATTGACAATAATACAATAACAGTAGGAAACTTTAACACTTCACTGTAATCAAAGCACAGTTCATCCAGACAGAAGATCAAAAAGGCAACAGAGGTCCTACATGACACAATTTAGATACAATAAACCTGTTGGATTTAATTAATATCTATAGGACACTCTATCCAAAAAAATCCAGAATACACATTCTTTTCCAGAATGCATGGGGCATTCTCTAGGGTAGACCACACATTAAGTCATAAAACAAGCCTCAACAAATTCAAGAGGATTGAAATTACTTCAAGGACCTTTTCTGACCACAGTGGTATAGAACTAGAAATTACCACAGAAAGAAAAATGGGAAAATAACAAACAGATGGAAACTAAACAACATGCTACTAAAAAACCAATGGGTCAACAATGAAATCAAAGAAGAAATTAGAAAATGCCTTGAGGAAAAGAAAAATGAAAACACAACTTTACAAAATCTATAGTAAAAGTAGTTCTCAGAGGGAAGTTCATAACAATACAGGCCTTCCTCAGATAAAAAAAGAAAAATCTCAAATAAACAACCTAACTTAGAAAAAACGAACTAGCAAAAGAACAAACAAAGCCCAAAGTCAGTAGAGGGAATGAAACAATAAAAATCAAAAATACAATAAATAAATAAGATCTTTAAAAAATAGAAAAAAAAGATCAATAAAACTTAACAGTTGAATTTTTGATAAGATTAACAAATCAACAAACCTCTATCCTGGCTCACTAAGCAAAGAGAGAGAACACAAATAAACAAAATAAAAAATGAAAGAGGAGAAATAACAACTGATTCTACAGAAATACAAAAAAAAATCACAAGAGAATATATGAACAATTATTTGACAATGAAGGACAACTGAGAAGAAATGGACAAACTCTAAAACATTCAGCCTACCAAAATTGAGTCAAGATGAAACATAATTTGGACAGATCACTGGAAGTGACATAGAATCTGTAACTTAAAAAACTCCCTGCAAACAAAAGTCCAGGACAGGATTGTTTCACTGGAAAGTTCTACAAAACTTCAAAGAAGAATTTATACCTATCCTTCTCAAACTATTTCAAAAATTCAAGAGGAAGGAAAACTCTCAAACTCATTCTGTGAGGCCACCATCACCTTAATACCAAAACCAGGAAAAAACAATACAAATAAAGAATACTATAGGTCAATATCTTTCATGAATATAGATGCAAAAATCCTCAACAAAATATTAGCAAACCAAATCCAATAATGCTTAAAAAGGATAAAACCTTAAAAGGATAAACCCTGATTAAGTTGGACTCATTCCACAGTCACAAGGATGGTTCGACATATGCAAATCAATCAATGTGATACATCACATTAACAAAAGGAAAGACAAAAACCACATGGTCATCGCAAAAGATGCAGAGAAAAACATTTGACAAAATTCAACATTCATTTATGATTAAAAACTCTCACCAACATGAGTATAGAGAACTTAATATAATCAACAGTGAACAGCCGACTCATTGGAAAAGACCCTGATGCTGGGAAAGATTGAGGGAAGAAGGAGAAGAGGGCATCAGAGGATGAGATAGCTGGATGGCATCACCAATGCAATGGACATGATCTTGGGAAAACTCTGGGAGATGCTGAGGGACAGGGAGGCCTAGTGTGCTACAGTACATGGGTCTCAAACAGTCAGACATGACTGGGTGACTGAACAACAACAATAACTTAGGCCATTTACAACAAACCCACAGCCAATATAATACTCAACAGTGAAAAGCTGAAAGCCTTCCTACTGAATTCAGGAACAAGAGATGTCCACCCTACCTCTTCTATGCAGCTCAGTGCTGGAAGTCTTAGCCACAACAATCAGACAGGAAAAGAAATAAAGGTATACAAACTGGAAGGGAAGAGGTAAAACTGTCACTGTTTGCAGATGACATGATACTCTGTATGCTGCTGCTGCTGCTGCGTCGTTTCAGTCATGTCCAACTCTATGCGACCCCATAGACGGCAGCCCACCAGGCTCCCCCGTCCCTGGGATTCTCCAGGCAAGAACACTGGAGTGGGTTGCCTTTTCCTTCTCCAACGCACGAAAATGAAAAATGAAAGTGAAGTCGCTCAGTCGTGTCCAACTCTTAGCAACTCCATGGACTGCAGCCCACCAGGCTCCTCCATTGATGGGATTTTCCAGGCCAGAGTACTGGAGTGGGGAGCCATTGCCTTCTCCAGATACTCTGTATAAAGAACCCAAAAGTTTCCACCAAAAACTGTTAATAACAAATAAATGAATTCAGCAAGGAGAGAGGATAAAGGATTAATATACAGAAATATGTTGCATTTTTTTTACATTAATGATGAAACATCAGAAAGAGAAAATAAAAAACAATCCTGCTTAAAATCATGTCAAAAAAATAAAATACCTAGGAATAAACTTAACCAAGGGGGTGAAAGACCTATGCACTGAAAACTTAAAGCACTGATAAAGGAAACTAAAAATTATTCAAAGAAATGGGAAGTTATCCAATGCTCTTGGATTAGAAGAATTAATATTGTTAAAATGGCTATACTATTCAAAGCAATCTATAGATTTAATGCAATCTCTATCAAAACACCCATGACATCTTTCACAGAACTAAATAATCCTAAAATTTATATGAAACCACAAAAGAATCAGAATTGCCAAAGCAATTATTCATAATAGCCATAGAATAAAAACAATCCAAATGTCTTTCAACTGATGAATGGAAAATGTTGTGTAATTAGGTAGTGGTGGTAATTGTACACTTACACTAACAACCACAGAATTGTACACTTTAAAATGGTGAATTTTGTGGCATGTAAATTATTGAGATTTTTAAAAAGGGGTACCCAAGAGCTTCACCCAGTTCTTACTTTAACTCACTGCAACCTAGATATGCCAACTTCCAGAGATCAGGTCCTTGAAAATATGTGAATGACTTAAAAAGTACCTACTTTCTGTCTCACCAGCTGCTGCCAGTTTTCAGACCCAAAGAATGCTAGAGAGCTGTTGATTCTAACCCCAAAATAACTTAATACCAGTGTTCCATTCAGAACTTCAAGACCTGTTGATTCCATTAAAGTCTTTCATCAGTAATCCTCAGTCACTGGAAATAGAAGCTTGGAATATCTAGACCAAGAATGCCCAACTGAGTGTTAACTCCTTTACATTCTGAATTTGTACCAGTTTCAATGACTTTATAAATACCAGAAATCTGTTTTAACAATATAGAGATGTACATCTTACATGTTTGGAGGAAGAGTGACTAGCATAGGGTTTTTGAAGTCAGAGGCTGAATAATACAGTCAAGGGCCAGCATCTTTCTATTCTTCTCCAGATTTCATCCCCAGGGATCATTTTCTCAGACTTGAGAACACCTAAAAGAAGAAAAGGGACTGTGTTTTCTTTTCTTTTCTTTTCTTTTTTAAGATTTAAGGAACCTTTTCCAGAAGTTCTCAGTGGCTTTTCTTCATGTCTCATTGATCATAACTGCAACACATTTCTGTGCCTTAAGAATTCATAGGAAGAGGGACTGGAATTGTTGTGTTTTAGCTTAGCTCAACCAGGCTGCATCTTTGAACTCAGGACAGATTCACCCAATCAGAACATGGTTAGGCAGAAAAGAGTAAACACCTGGACCTAAACAGGCCTATGTTAGCAAGAGAAAAACTAAAATGAATTCAGGATAGGTATCCAAAAGTACCTACTATGGGGCTACAAAGTCTATGATCCACTTAGCATGCATTCTACTAAAGTAAAACTTTCCAGTTTGACAAAGCCCTCCTCATTGACACAAAAGTCACAGTCAGTTTTTACACTGCCTCATATAACATTATGTCTTGGCAAGCAATGCGCATCAGACAGTTAAGGAAAATCAGAAACATGTAAATGAAAGATCATGATAAAGATTTCTCATTTCAATCATGATATAATAACTGATATTGAACAAAAGACCTTCCACAGTAAAACAACTGTTTTTAGACACTGGTCAATAGGAAACATAGAATTTTGATCCCTAATAAAAGGGAAACAAATGAACAAGCTTCATGATCACCACAGCTTTCTGTGTGTACGCACTTTTCAGACTACAGCACAGGGAAGGGCCAAACAAAGGATGGTGGTGTCACTGAGCTGAGGTGACACAGATCAGATATCAGGGAGAAGAAGGCTGCACAAAGAATTGTGCACAGGAAAGGACCCCAGGAGACTAGGCGAAGAACAGCTATTAGAGAACTTACAGGGAACTATGACCTGAACAATGACCAGAGATTGCACAGGGATGGGAGATGTTAGTGTTTCAACCAACCACAGTGTAGAGATCTCATTAACCATCCCAATAATTTAGTAGACAACCTAGAAAGGCTGAGTCCTAGTAGTAGGGAAAATCCAGCACTACAGCAGCATTATTCAAGAGAAATACAAGATATCACAAACATAAAATTTCTACCTTTTTTTCAAGTAACCAGGAAGATGGTGGACCTTCAGACAAAGTGTGCCTACCAAAAGCAACCTACCAACTTTCAAAATAAGAAGAGGGTCCTGCTTGCAGAAAGTGGCAAGGAGAAGCTCCCGTGATACTACCAGAACTTTGGTTTGGGCTTCAAGACACTGAAGGAGGCCATCGAAGGCACCTACATTGACAAGAAATGCCCTTTAACTGGTAATGTCTCCATCCAAGGGCAGATCCTGTTTGGGATGGTGACCAAGATAAAGACACAGGGGACCGTTGTCATCTGGAGACTACCTTTACTGCATCCAAAAGTACAACTGCTTCCAGAAATGCCACTAGAACATGTCTCTGTACCTTTCCCTCTGCTTCAAGGACATCTGGATCGGGGACATTGTCACAGATCGGGGACATTGTCACAGTGGGCAAGTGCGGGTCCCTTGCCCTTGAAAGGGACAGTGGGCTTCAATGTGCTCAAGGTCACCAAGGCTGCTGGCACCAAGAAACAGTTTCAGAAGTTCTGAGACTGGATCCCTACTCACTGCCCCAAACAAAATAAAGTTATTTTCCCAGATAGGTAGATAAATAAATAAAATTTCCTAGTAATCTCTTGAAAAAAGTAAAAATGAACAGATAAAATTGTTAATATTTTACTTAACCCAGAATATTCCAAATATTGTCATTTTAACATGCACCCAACATAGAATATGAGATATTTTACATTTTTTTCACACTAAGCCTTGAAATTCAGTGTTCATTTTTCATTTACAGAACACTTCCATTTGGACTAGTCACACTTCAAGGGCTTAACAGCTAAACATGGCTAGTGAATTTCATATAGGACAGTGGTGCCTTAGAGTAAAGGTTACTCCAGTTCTGTATAAAAAAGAGCTTAAAAACAAACCATGAAAGTACCACAGTGAAATGCAAGTAAATTGACTACCTGAACAACCATTAAAAAGTTAATTATTAAGAATACTCTATTTAGAAAGACAACAAAAATTGCCCAAAGGAGAGTCTACGGCATCCAGAATAAGAAAAAAATTACTAGGCATGAGGAGAGTTGGAAAATATTACTCTTGACCTGGAGAAAAAATTTATGAACTCAGAAATGAGAGAGATGAAAAAGAAAAAAAAAAAAAAGAAATGAGAGAGATGATGGAAATAGGGGACACAATTTTTAAAGCAGCTATTATAAATGTGTTACTTAAAGGAAAATATAAATATAATAAGAGAATAAACAGAAAATCTTAATAGAGAAATGGAAACTATAAAAAGAACCAAATGGAAATTCTAGGACTGAAAAATATAGTATCTTAAATCAATTAAGCAGATGGGCTTGACAAGAATTAGATATTATAGAATGAAAGTGAACTTAAAGGCAAAGCAACAGAAGTCATCCAAACTGAAGCAAAAGAGGAAAAAGCAAAAACAAAACATAAAACCAGGGGCTTCCCTGGTGACTCAGTGATAAAGAGTCAGCCTGCCAATGCAGGAGACACGCGTTGGATCCCTGGTCTGGGAGGACCCACGTGTCTAGGAGCAACTAGGCCTGTGCACCACAAATGCTGAACCTGTGCACTACAGCCTGGAAATTGCAACTACTGAGCCCACTGGCCACAGCTGCAGAGCAGTCCCCACTCACCGCAAACGGAGAGAAGCCCATACAACAACAAAGAACGAGCACAGACAAAAATAAATAAAACCAAAATCAACAAAGCCTCAGTGACTATGAGACAATGCTGAGTTGATTCAATGTCTGGTGAAGTCTGGCTCCCTGGTTCATAGAGAGTGGGCTTCTCCTTGTGTCCTCCCATGGTGGAAGGGGGTAAAGGAGCTCTCTGGGATCTGTCATAAAAGTAATAATCCCATTCAAGAGGGCAGAAACCCTCATGACCAAATCACCTCCCAGAAGCCCCACCTGAAAACGCCATCATATAGGTTCCAACATATGAAGTTGGGAAACAAATGTTGTCTGTGCTAAATTATGTGTGTGTGTGTGTGTGTGTATAAAATCTGTGGGTCCTCTATAAGTTTTCAAGTATAAAAAAGGTCCTGTGACCAAAAGTTTGAAAACCTCTGTCTAATCCTTTTCCATATTAAAATCTTACCCACAGAATAATCCCAGTTCAACTCTACTTACCTCTGCCTTCAACACTAAAATAACCTTCATTCTTTAATAAGGAGTGGGAATCATTAATTGGAGAGATGGATAGAGAGAGCCATGAAGAAAACTGTCATTTGTCCTCCAGTATTTCATGTGGCTCTGATCTTTCTTTTGTGAATCCTGGATAACGATTCCCAAGTAGCCCTGGTCAATGAACACTTGAAACTTCCATGTGGGCAATAATGCTCCTGCTGTCTTGCCTATGGGAACATTGCTTAGAGCCATATACATCTTCCCCAAAGTTCAGACTAAATACTTGGATGCTACATAGAAATTATGGGGTATGTAAAGTTCTATCATTAAGGATCTAACATTCTCCAGTTATAAAAAGAGATAATAATATATTGTAATATAAAAGGTAACAAGATGTTGTTGGACAGAGCTAAAATAGGTAAAGGATTACAGAAGAGAACGTGGCGAGAGAGTCACATTTAATTTTAAGAAAGGCACTCTTCAAAAGAATAAAAGAGGAGAGCATTGCAAGATCGCTGATGAAGTAGGTTTAAGGTAAAAGGATCCTTTGCTTCATGAGCTAGTGTCTAGGATAGTGCAGCAAAATTTCTTGTGAGAATTATTTTTTTGATATGCTTTAATTACACTGATCTCATTAAAGTCACCAATGGCTAAAATCAATGGTCTAATTTAAGACTTTGTACTCCTTGATCTTTATTCAGCAGTTTCATATACCTGATCAAACTTTTGTAAAACTTTTTTCTCTTCTTACTTCCATGTGATTATTTCTAATGTATTTTCTCCTTGTTCTACATTTCTTTTGTAGTTTCCTTTACAGAATTTCCCTTCCTTGTTTCTTATAACACCCCTGTTTGTTATAAACAAAACCACCAAATACTAGTGTCCCTCTAGGTTGTGTTCAGTTTTTTTTTTAAGACTTTTCTCTCAACTACTTCATTCTTAGCCTCTACCACACCCAAGCCTAATAACTCTCATGTCTCTATCTCCAGATCCATATTTCTAACTTACTACTAGATATCTCTGCCTGGATGCCATGTAGGCATCTCAAACTTAAAATGCTCAATGCTTATCTTCCCCTGAACCTTCTCCAAGACCTATGCCTCCTCCTTTATTTGCTATCTCGGGGAGTGGTACTACTATCAGCCCAGAAACCCAAGCCAGAAAGCTGGCTTGGAGTGTCATCTTCAACTCCTCCCTCTTCACAGATACTGGACCACTGCATGTGTGCAGCCTAAGTCGCTTCAGTCGTGTCCGACTCTTTGCAACTCTTTGGACCATAGCCTGCCAGGCTCCTCTGTCCATGGGATTCTCCAGGCAAGAATACTGGAGTGGGTTGCCATGCCCTCCTCCAGGGGATCTTCCGGACCCAAGGATTGAATCCATGTCTCCTGTGGCTCCTGTATTGCACTCAGATTCTTTACCATTGAGCCACCAGGGAATCATAATGGACCATT